GCGATCCTTTCAATGCCCCATAGCACAAGCTTCATCTGACCCTTTTAGCATCCTGTGGCACTGAAAAGGCACCATTATTTGCAGTGAAAATCTTTGCCATCGAATCCAGCAGCTTAGCAGGGTCTACGCCACTCCTGCGGAGAGTGTGAAGCCCCACTCACTTAACTGGTTGACAGTTAATTGCCTGAAATCAGACACGAGCTCTAGAGCAATGAAGAAATGTGCCCCAAAATGCTGCTGTTGTAATGGAACCATGAGAGGAAACCACTAAACGCATGAAAACAGTAATAGAATGTTTCCAATCGGAAAAAAATCATAAAGCTTATTGCACCCTGCCATCACATGTGCCGTCTGCTCCTTGGAGCCATTGCCCCTGAATTCCACTGGGTGAGTCACGGCTGGCACTGCAGTGCATTCCTGTGAGGTTTTGCAGAATTGCCCGTTAAATATTATAATAGGGATGCATGCTGTGCACTTAAAGTACATAGTAATCATGACTTATTACCCTGCATGGTATTGTGTTTACAATATGCCTTTGGGGGAGATACTTTATATAAGCGAGCCATAAAGTAACCTATGAAAGCGAGCACTAGAAAAAGGCATAAAAAGAGACAGCACACAGAAATGTCTCTGCCTTAGAACCCGAGAGAGAAACCCCAAGCAAATTCATCTGTTGTAAATACAGGGCGGTATAAAATCCTTGCTCAGCACCAATTGTGTGCTGGGGGATGCACAAGTATTATTTCATTGTGAAAGTCTTTATTTAGCACCGTTTATCATGCTGGTTGCATTCCTATCTTCAGAGTGCTTTGGTTTTAGGATGCTTCAGATGAGGCTTTTGGAGTGCCGATGCACCCTTCATGGCGTTTTGTGTGGGATCCAGCTGACATCTTCTACTTGTAGGTCTACCATATTTTCGCACCAGTGCTTCTACCAATTTTTCCTACCCCAGAAAGAAAGGGAAAGACGGAGCTGAAGAAAAAAATGGAATACCTACACAATCTGTCTTGATCAATAATCCTACAAATTCTTTCAGGAATGAAGAGTGATATCAACCATGCAGTATGTTGCTTTAATATCTAGAGCTTGAGTTGGGCAGTTTTATTTGTTCCGTGTCCAGTCCCAAACATCATTAATGTCTTGAATGGCACTGGTTCCTTTCCTTAACAACATTAGACTTTTGAAACCAGAAGTTCATTCTGGATACATGCACCTGATATTGCTCTTGTTACACTTGTAGGTCATTATCATCACAGGTTCTCATTAACCTCCCCACTCCTTTTCCTGCTCTCCAAGGTGAATTTATGACCTTGGAAAGGCAGTTGCATGGCTCTTTCTATACCAGCTGCAAGGAGTGAGTGGGAAGGGAACTCAGCCTCCAGAGTCCCAGCTTGGAGGTCACAAGCCCCTGGAACTGGGGCTTTGGGCCCTCAATGTTGGGGGGGTTATGATTTTACAGGATTTCTGTCAAGGCACGCTTTTTTCAGTGGGGAAACTTGCAGCTAGAAAATCTTTTCTTTCAGTTTTCAGAAAGACCCCATCTCATGAACAAACCTTCAAACTGATTTCTGCAACAATGATCTGACCAGTATCTACTGCCAGATCTGTGTTGACCTGGGAGTGCGTACACCTGTGTGAAGATGCTTAATTGTGAAGTGTATGATTGTACAGCCATTGATTGCCTGTTCTGCCTAGCAGCAGCTCTGCACAGTCACAGAGGCAAGCCAGGACCATTTCTTATGCATGGCCACAGCAGGTGCAGGTGCTGCCGTCAGAGCTCATTCCCTCTCCCTTCCTGTAGGAAGAGACATTCGCTGTGCATCTCCTCTCCTCCCGGCCTCCATTAGTGCTGGCAGCTGCTGGACAGGAGATGCAGATTAAGTCCTGAGGGCATATACGCAATCATGAGCTGTGTGTGTAGGTGCAGGGCAGGGTCCCTCTGGAGTTCTCAACCCTTGCTAGCTTTCCCTTTTTCCTTTTAAATGCAACTTCACTTTCTCTCTATGTATCTGTGTGGGCTTATAATGGCTTCCTGGAGCATGGGAGCAATTCTATGTGAGAATGCTCTAAGAGTCTCCAGGACACTGCTACCTACTGAATGTTTTTCCTCTCCCTCTGTAGGAATTGGACTCAGTCTTCCTATCATACAGGTTGCTGACTCAAATTCTGATTCAGAAGCAAAGGCCAAAGAGGCAGGGGTGGAACTTGCAGCTGAAATGCCAAGCCAGAAGACCCAGAGAGGAGTCCAGCACTCAGGACCAGGCAGTTTCAAGTGTAGTGGGACATTCTGGTGTTCAAGCGGGGATCAGCGGGGCCAACATAACATCGTTAATCCAATCACATGCAGTAAAGAGGGCAGACCAATTGGAAAATGTCAGGCGTCGCTGGTGATTGGCCCGTTAGCAGCAGAAACCTCCTTGAAGGCGGAGTCAGCTCTTTTTATAGTTTGGAAGGGAGGGAGGTATTCCGTTTGGAACCAACATGAATCATTAAGCAGTGTTTCCTAATGGCCAGTACTCCAACTCTGTGTGTGTCTTTTGTTACTAACTGTTCAATATCCTTTTGTAGTAGGAAGCTAGACAAGTACCTCAGCAGTAACATAATAAAGATTTTCATCCTGAGCTGCTTAGAGGGATGCGGAGAAAAAAGGCACAGCACACCTCCCCGTGTTTCAGTTTACTTAGCACTCATGATCCTCAAGTTAGCTGCTTCAGTGCAATGGATGGTAAGCAGAGAGACTTATGGGTCCAAGACAAATGGTTTTGTGCTGTGCTGTTCTGCTTGGCACTTGTGATTTTTGATGTATTTAGCATGGTTTGACTCCTGGTAGTTGTGACCCCCCATTGACCATCAGCCTGCCTGCTGTGGCACCAACTCCCCAGCAAGGTTCTTCCTCCAGTTAGCTCTCCTGCCTTCTGCCCCACTAGAGCTGATTGGAATTGCCACCTTTGGTAGGCAAGAGTTTTACCCAGTGGGAAATCCTCTGAATAAGAAATCCAGTGAACATAGATCACTGTGCTTGCAAAGCATGTACTTCTTCATTTACCACTGGCCACCAGAATACTTTTTTGTAAGACGGAATAAAGATGGAGCAAGCCTGCTGGCAGTGAAGGACATTGCACCTACAGGATTATAGTGCATCTTAGCAGGGAGTCCTGTGGTTTGCCAACATCATCTGGGTTTTTCTGCACTTAAGCACCGAGCTCCAATGCTGATCAGTACCCCAGCTTCCTTCCCTCCCTCCAGCTGGCCCTAAATCCTGCTAGCCAAGGTGGCCCTCTGGACAGGATGCAAGGCACAAGGCGTGCGCAGGGGTGGGCATCGCTGCCTCCGTGTTTCACTCTTCGCAAGGCCTTGGGTGCCTGCTCACCTCCTCCGGTGATTGCACTGGCGCTGGGTTCTATTTATTATTTTATTTTATTTAAAACATTTTAACCCATCTAATATCCAAAACAGCTCTCTAGATGGCTTACCGTGACAAAAACTGTAACAGCACATTAACTAGAACATGATCTTCAATAACTACAGTAAAATCCAATCAACCATTAACCATTAAAATACTGGGTGAGTGAAAAGGTTTTGACCCGGCAATACAGTGTCGGTGCACCTCTCTGGAGAGCAGGGAGCTACTACAGTAAAGGCCTTGCCTGGGTAGCCACTCTTCTAGCCTCCTTCAGAGGACCTCAGAGGACGATCCCAAAGTTTGGGTAGGTGCAAATGGAAGGAGAAGGTCCTTCAAATAGCCAGGCCCTGATCCATTTAGGGCTTTGTATGTCAATGTTAAATTAAATTGGGCACGGAGTTGAATCAGTAACCAGTGAAAATGCTATAGAAGCAGCATTATGTGGTCACACCTGCCAGCCCTGCTAAGCAGGCTTGTGGCTCCATTCTGTACCAATGGAAGTATCGGCGCCATTTTTTGCTGCTGTTATTTTTGCTTTGGTTTTACACTGTAGCTTTAAACTACAATGTTTTATCATGTTGCATTGTATTGTTTTGCTATTAACCACCCAGAGCACTTTGGCTATGGGGCAGTATAGAAAAGTAGTAAAAGTCCCAATTGAGCGATGCAGCTTTAAGTAGGACCACACGGATACCAACACCATGCGTGATGACTCGCCTGTTCTTGATTTCTTGGAAGGAGTCTTTATACTTCTATTGCGTACTTTTTCTCCCTTTTCCCAGCATCTTTCTCTTTAAGGAGAATGCCGGTGGACAGGGAGGGGAAAAAAATCGCTCGTATTTCGCATTTATTCGCTCGTATTCGCATTTATACCTGGGCTTGGCCCCGAAACCGTTTCCCGTCACTGCCCCAACAGATCTGCACACGCTCAACCCGCTTCTGCCTGTCCGCACCGCACGTGCCGCGGTTCCGCCTGGAGCCCCGAAAGGAACTTTGGCTCTGCGGTCGTTGCAACATTTGGCTCCCACCGGATGCTGCCCGCGGGCCAGGCAGCGGCTGGCAAAGAAGCCCCGTCGTTCCCAAAGCATCCCGGGGCAATGGACATTCCAGCCCGCGATCAGGGCCTCGAGGGAGGGGCAGCCAGCGGAGACGCGTTTGCAAAACAGAGCCGCCTCCGCCTCCTGCACTGGGCTGGCTGGCTGGCTGGCTAGCTGACTCCCTACCATCTTGCGCCCCAGGGAGGGAGGAGGGAGGGAAGCTGGCTGGCTCCTCGCCTGCCCGCCTGCCCGCCTGCGGGCCGGCCGCCTGCCTGCCTGCCTGCTTCTCTCCCCCTCCCTCCCCGAAAGCAGCTGGACTGCTTGGATAACGTCATCGCTTCCGCCCAGCTTCCTCCTGTTGGCGGCCGTAAGAATCCAACATGGAGTAAAGACGCAGCGATGGGGCTCGGACGGGGCCGCCGGCTGCAGTTGCTGCACTTGGGCGCACGGGCCGACGCGGCGGCGCCCCGTTGCCTTCCCGCGCGCTGAGCTCACGCTCGCCCGCCCGCCCGCCGCGCCGCCCGGGCTCCTCGCCTGCAACCACCGAGGCCTTACAAGCCCCCGCCGCCGCCGCCGCCGCCGGGCTTCCTTCCTTCCAGCTGCCCCCCCGCCGATCCCTGCCCCTCTTCCCTCCGCCACCCCCCTTCCAGTGCAGCCGAGGCGGCCTCCTTGCATCCCCCGCGCTCTCTCGCTCGCTCTTCCCGCAGTGTAAAGCCCAGAAAAAATGAAGAGGCGCAGCCCGGCTGCCCGCGGCGGGGGATGAGCTTGATGGGGGAGAAAATGACCGAAGAAACCCACCCAGACGAGTAAGTGTCCGACAAGAAGGTGGGGAGGAAATGGATGTAAACATCTGGTTGTGGAACATCTGGAGGGGGAGCTGCTCGGTCTAGCTGTTGCTCTGGCCGTCTTTTTTCTCCTCTTCCCCACCCCACCCGGGTGCTATGTAAGAGGTGTCGACCCCTGCAGCTATGCAAGCCTGCATCTCCGGGACCCCCTTTCCTTCTCCGCCTCGCCTCGCCTCGCCTGGCCTCGAGCTTGCGAGGACGAGCTTGTTTGGCGTGCGGTGCAGCGACCCATTTTTTATCCGGGGGGGGATTGTTCCAGAGTGGGGGGCGGTGGAATGGAAGGTGAGACAGCTTTTTGGAGCTCTTTAGCACGACTGCACGGCGGCATGGACGGACTTGCATTCTCTTGCCTGTCCACGGAACCCGTGCTGCCCCTATTCCTGGGCTCTTGGGGGCGGCCACATTTTTATGCCAGGATGTCTTTCCCTCTCCCTCTCTCTGCCTCCCCAGACCCTCACGCCCACTTCTCCACTGCCTGGTGTGTTTTTGCAGCTTTCATATCCGCCATTGCTCGCTCGCCTCGCTCGCTCTCTTTTCTTGAATCGATCTCATTTGCATAGCACATTTCCATTCATAAAAACAACACCCTCGGAGGCCGGGAGTCTGCTCTGGCCGCAGGGGAGAGAGAAGGACGGGGCCTGGAGGACGCGGGAGGAGGGCTTGATCGCGGTTGCAGGACAGACCCGGGACGCCGAGGGGAAGGAGGGCTCCGAGCTTTGCTGCAGACGGTTGTGGCGAGGGCGAGCATATCGGAAGGGAAGCCTGTAGGGGCCTTGGCTGGCTCGGAGGCTGCACTGGGGGAAAGGGAGGAAGAGCGCAGCCGCCTGGGCACAGGCGCCGCTTCGCTCGCGAGCGCATTGTTAGCCTCGCGGCCGGCAGGGAACGCCGAGGCGACCTCGGGTGCACGTCGTCGTGTGAGCGCGTGCACGGGAAAAAGAAGCGGGGCTCGCGGGGAGAGAGCTGCCTCTTACACCGCCTTCGAAGCAGATCCCTCCAGAGGTGCGAAAAGGTGTATCAGATCCCCAGC